CTCATGAAGTGACTGCCACATAATGGATTAGCCCAGTGGATAGGGAATGGTATGAACATTTAATGCAAGGATGGAGCCATTCCAGAACCCAGCTGTGGATCCCCAGCTCTGTCTGAAAAGCTTCTTCTGAAGCCAAATTAAAAGAAACAACAAACCTGTTAGTTCTCTGCCCACACTTGCTCTGAATCAATACCTGCAGAGAGAAAGCCACCCGTGAGGCATTTAGGTCTGTACTCAGGAAGACTGCCACTTCTTCCCCTTGTCATTTAGCCTGATCAACCTACCACTAGAAAACTGTCTTTTGCTGTTATAAAAGCTGACCTGTAGGCCTCATCTGTTCACCTAACGTTTTGTCACCAGCAACAAGTAGAGGAGGTAGTAAGAAGTCAAGCGAGGCCCCAGAAGGGAAGGGATTCCTACTACTCTCTGTGAGGTCAGGGTAGTAGGTTTCTGCTTCCAGCCTCTCCATGATCCCCAGGATAAAGGACAATGTGGTACAGACCTGGGCACCATCCATCCTACCCCAAACCCCCCTCTTGCCACTCCCTTGGATGTGGTACCCCCATTGACATCATGAGAACTCCTTTCTCTGGGCCCATACCAGGAGAAGGGAAGTTCTACTGGGCCTGTTCAAAATAGGGTGTAAGGTTAAGTGAATTACTCAGGCTTTTTGTGCCACTAGCCTCTGTGGTTATCACCTGTGGCCTTGATCATGGGAACAAGGGTTCAGAGTATGTGTGCCTGATTCTGGACACCTGGAGCATGGGTGTGTGCGCATGTGTAATTGTGCAACTGGGCCTAAGGCCAGGGCTATGAGGGCGGTGTCACTCAGAGACAGAGGATGGGGCGGAGGATGGCTACTGGAGAACAGAGAACACCACAGAGGGCTGGGAGAAAAAGCATTAAGGTTTGTCCGGGGCTGGGCGGGCAGGAAGCTGGGAGATTCAGTTCCTTAACTGCCTCCCAGGCCCTGCTGCCCAGCCTCCCTGCCTTGCAGACCTGCTGGCTCAGCACTACAGGAGAATCAGACAAGGTAATTTTTTTTTTTTCCTCCAAAAAAAGAGAAGCAATTGGCTCCAAATGGAGTCATTCACGAGAAGACACACTAAGACTTACTATTGAAACTTACTGCGGTTTCATCTCCCCAAAGGGGAAATTTAAATCAACCTGGAATATCCTGGTCAGTTCTAAGGATGTAATCTGCATGATAACCACCCCCCCCCACTTTACCTTAATTGGAGGTAGCTTTGCCTGAAATAACCTTTCTTATTGCATGTAGTTTTTCTTGCCTTTGTGACCATGAAAGTCTTCCATTTTGTACAATACCTGGTAGCACCTTTCTGCTTGCTAGGACTGCTGCTTGATTCATGAGTCATTTAGTAAAACCAATTAGAACTTCAAATTTATTTGGATGAAGTTTGTTTTTTGATGATAGAAAGCCAGAGTTACTTAACTTTGAAGGACAACCACCTTTCCTCACAAGTCAGAAGGTACTAGACACGTGGTGACTAGAAGGTTCATCTCTGACTGCTTCAGTATGGAATGATTTATGGCATCTCCCAGTAAATGTTAGGGCATCAGTTCCACCTCCAGGCAGGAAGGTTTTTCTTGCCAAGAGGGATTTAATTCACTTCTACTCCCAGGGAGAGCACAACAAGCACATAAAGGCAGAGAAAATGAGGCCGCAAAGCTAATATGGGCTCCTGGGGTCCAAGAAAGACTGACACAGAAAGGCAACCCCACACTGGCATTTTCATTAAGAGAGAGATGGCCTGCATTTGGCAGACTTGAATGAGAGGAAGCATGATCTTTCATAGGAATTAAGTCATAAAAACTCTATTTACAGACTACATTTCAGTAGAGAATGTACAAAATCAGATAGCAATAAACTTTCTGAAGCAGTAGGGCCCTCAATGGAGATGATGTTCCAGAACAGAAAACAACAGTATGCAAACTCTGGAAGAGTATCTAGATTATCCTCATGGGATTCCCACTGAATAAAGGATTATCACCAGTGTAAGATATAAGAAGGCCAGAGGCTGTGCAGGATGAACACTATTTTAATGCAGAAACATTGGTATAACCTATGATGTTATATGTCCATTATGGAGTGCATGTTGAGACAATCTCAGAAAATTAGTGATAATTTTCCTACAGTGCTAAACTAGGGATCAGTTTTTCAACTGCATAGATGTAACTATTAAAGACAAAAGTGTAATCACCATATAGAGCTAGAAATGCTTGAGACAAGATTTAATTCTCTCAGATATGGTCTTAGGTGACTTGTGTGCATGTAGAATCTTAAAAAAGTGCCCTCTCTGAATTGCAATATGCACCAGTGAAACAGTGGGATTAAAGGTGACACGTAGAAGCACATAGACTACTCAGTAATTTATTAATGTACTTTATTTTTCACTCCACACAAGGCACATACCACCAAACAGAAACACAAAAAATGAATAACCAAACCTTTCATTTTTATTGTTTTAGTATTCATGTATAATTTTCAGTGGAGCAAATTATTAATAAACTATAGTGACATGAGTTGAAATATAGTTCAAATAATACTAGGTAACTTCAAAACAAACCCAGTGTTACACACGTGAAATATTTCAATTGAGAACACATTTTTATTTCAGTGAAGCACAAAAAGCATGCAGAATCTCAAATAAGGGGTATTTGGGCTCCTATGCCAATGTCATAAGAATATTGAAGGGATTTTGCTATTCCTGAATAAATAATTCATTTTTATTGATTGGTGAAATTGCCTTTAAGGATGAATATGGACCAGAAAATCGCACCAGTGCTGTTGCCAAAGTTTATTGATAGCCAAACCCTGAGAGTACTTTGAATTGGCCATTACCGCAGTGAGCCAGGCACTCAGTCTCACTCTGTCTTCTGCACAGCAGGGTAAGATGTGCAAGTAAGATGGTCTGAGATATCTCAAATGTCACTAAACTGAAACTCTCAAGATATTGCTGCAATAAATATGACTATTATTGATTGCTTACTGTATTTCATCTCAGACTTAGTTTAAATCTTCCTTCATTCTGAATTATGTGCACATTACCTCCAGAAATGTCACTAAGTTTAAGCTGTCAAAGTTGTTGCTTGTAAAAATGCATAAAATAAGTGGTTTTCCCCCTAGTTAGTAAGGAAGTAAAAGTATAATCAAAAATAAAAGCAGGGGCATCTGGAAATCTTTCATTGGAAGTTTTAATTCATATTTAATCACCTACTTTGCCCAAGAAAATTTGTTTTAAGTCCCAACTATTAGGTACTAAATTGGGCATAACATATGTCTACTTCTGTTTTCAGGGACTTGTTAGTCATGGATATGGAGGAAAGACTGTTATGCTGTCATTTAGGTTCAGTGAAATTTTCTTTGGAGGGATCATATCACAAAAGAAAAATTTTAAAAACCAACAGGAAGCACAGCTTTGCCCTGCTAGAGTTACTCAAATTATCACATTTCTATTCCCAGGCACACGTTGTATATTTATGACCTCCATAAAGAAGGAAACCCATTTTGCTATAGTTTGAGTTAGTTTGGAATACAAGGAAACTTTAGCTTATCTCAACAATATTTGGCCGAAACTCACCTGGGATGTATAACTTTAAAAATAAAGGTACATAAGCAGTAAAAAGGAAGAGAAATGAGGCCAGTGAATGGTTTTCACCCATCAGTTCTGAAGATGTGTTATTGAACATTTTTGAATTATTGAAAATTTTCCTTTATGAAAATGAAAGCAATTTGACAAGGGAGTCATCTTATTTCATATCTCCTAGATAAAATATTCACTCCTCATGTAACTGGCAATTAGTTATTAGAAGTGAGAATATGCGGCTAATTACTTATGTACCTGCCTTTTATCCACTTTAAAAGATATAGTTGAGGGTTAATAATATTGTTTTGGTTATTTTGCTCTTACATAGGAAGCCAGCTGGCATTTGAAATGTGCATCTCATTGTCAAATGTGTTTTCCCAAAAGTTTGGTTGGTGTGTTGGCTAAAAGTTTGTATTCTGCCATGCAACCAATATTTCAAGCTGCTGAGTATTTGAAGGAGATCTGTATCTCTGCGAAATCTCAGTTTTCTTATCTATAGAATGGAACTAATAATGTCTACCCTGACAGCCATTGAGAGCATTAAATAAGGTAATAGCCTTTAACAGGAGCTAACACAAGAGGGCCAGAATCTCTATTTGTTATCTGTATTTAATATTTTAATTCCCAGAACCTTGAGAAATGCTTAGAACATATGTACTCAACTAATATTTGTTAAATATATAAATAGATGGCTATCCTGATCGGCTCTGATATTGAGAATTTCACCTATCATAAAACTACAAAACTTCCAAATTTCTGTTTCTCAACTTGCAAACAACATCACTAAATCGTCCTGAGAATTTATGGAATTCATCCTCCTGCCTTTGATAAGACTTTATCCAAACCACCAAAGACAAGAGCCCCAAGCTATCCTTAAAGTCTCCTTCAGGAGAAGGTTGCCTCTTCATAAAACCAAGAACTTTTCATTCCTGACTATAAAAATGAACTGCTCCTGCATCTGTCTTACTTATACCCTCCCTTACCACTGACACTTTCTTACCTATGTCTCTTTAGAGCTGTTTTGTATTTATACCTTTTTCCCCTCTTGTTTATCAAACTCATTTTGAAAATCAGACTTGTGTTTTGTTCTCCTCAAACAATGGGGGCTATTAGATGTCATAAACCAGCCTGTAATCACTGAAACATCCCAAGATCTACAGAAAGACCAACCTGATAGACTATTGTCTGTGCACAGAATTCTAGTAAGGTTGGGGTTCCATTTGGAAATGGTTCTTTCAATAATACTATCCTTTTATAAAAGACTCAGGAATTATCATGTGTACCCTAGTAGGGGAAAATTCATTAAAACTTTTTAGTATTATAAGCCTTTTTGGTATTTTGCTTTAAGTAAAAATGTTTCCTATTCAAGTGAATTGGTAAAAAAATGGCAAAAACTGTATTTAGTATTTTAAAACTGTATTTAGTATTTAAAAACTGTATTTTAGTCTTTTGGTGATCTGGGATAGTGGTGCAGCCTTGATTATGAAGTTGCTTAGTAACACTAGCATTTTATTTCCTAATCAATCCAAAAGATTGTGGATGAAAACTTAACTACTTTGTGTCTGGACAATTTTGTCATTAGGCTTGGCTTCTTTATTTGATAGTAACGTGTGAAATACTAATGGTATTATTGTGGTATAGGAAGAGAATTATGAAAGGATTGCTATGGCATTTTCACTTGAATAAATGTTTTGTAGTATGCAAAATATTAAGGAAAGTGATACAGAAATATAAATTCCTCATGTTGCAATCACGGTCCTAGTTTACTTAAAATAATTATTGAAATAATATACAGGACACTAGTTTTAAACTGGATGACCTTACATTTTCTGACCTGATAGGTCAAACAGAACTATTTCTAACTTCCCAAATAGAAAAATGGCTTTTTGATTCCTAAACATGCAATAGGCAGAATTTCTTTGCAACAGACAGGCCGATAAAAGTTACATATTTCATTCAACTTGATATTCTGGTGTCTGCTGTGCTGACCTAGAGAATTACTTACAGCATTCTGAAAATAGGTTGGCAATTCTGCAATGAGTTCACCAGAGAATGGTAAATATCACCAGGAAAAGTCTCAGATGTCATTCTATTCATTTTGCCACTATATAGAAATCTGCATCCATGGGAACCATAATCCCTAGCATGCATTTGTGTATGTGACAGCAAAGAATGCCTAATGGAATAGAAAAAAAAAAAGGGAAATAATGCTGCCGGGAATTCAAATTTATTTATAATTGGAAGTAAAACACTGCAGAATATATTGGTTTAAATGTATGATAGATGTATAAGAGATGAGAGATGAGACATATTTTTATTGCACAGCATGAGAGGGAAGGACATTGACTGGGGCTAAGTGACTGGGTGAGTGGATCTGATAGCATCATTATCGTAGAATCCCTCAAATGTTCATAGGAGTGAGATAGCCCAGCTCAGGGATACAAGATGAAAAGATCACCCTGAAAGTGAAGATACAGGAAGCTACTGAGAATACTTTCTCTGTGGTTGGACATTAGTGTTTTTTAGTCACGCATTATTGAATAGGAGGAGCACTAATTATTGGGGTTTAGTGTACTCATAATTTTAACTCTTTTGTACTGTGACTAGAAAGGTGACCTCCTCTGAAGCTATACAGTATGCAAGCTATGGAGGCGCTTATCCCTTACAAGGAGGGACTTTATGGGGAACATATATGCTATGCTAATACTTAAAAGGAAAGGATTTGCAAAGATAAGGAAGAAAATTAATGAATAATATATTTGTAAAGACATGCATAGTTTGCACTTGTGTCATATGACAAACAGGGAATCATTAACAAATTATCTTGAAAAGTGTGTTTGAGGTTTATTTCCTCACTCGGGTTGTATCCACAAACTCTAGTAAATAGAAGCAAATATTCTAACTCAATAGTTGTGATAAATAAAAAGGAGCGATGATTTTTCACTTTCCTTGTTTAATGAAAAACCTTGCAATATGTCTAATTTGAAGATCGTGTCCTAGATATTTTCTAAGTTATTCTGATTCTAATCTCATGTTTGAAAGTGACACTAGAGGCTATCCAGGACTGTCCTTGTAGATGCTATCAACCCTCTCCTTCACAAAGGTTGTTTTTGTTTTTAATGTAAATGAACATAAATTGATTTCATTAAGAGAAAGGGGAGTCTTGATTAGCAGGATCAAACAAATGTATTATCAGAGGAAGCACACATCATATCAGGGATGTGAGTACAAAGGTATATAGATAAACCACCAAGCTATCACTTTCATTAATAAATTTTTGCCATTCCCCCACTTAAGGTTTTAAATGTATCTACTACATTCATACAAACAGATTAAGTTCATTTAATATAATTTTAGTGTGAAAATTTTTAGACTTTGCCACTCATTTTTTTGTGGGTGTGTGTACATCATTAGTTTTATGTAGCAAAGCAACTCATACTTCTAATGTTTAAGAGTGAGCATCATCTATCCTCTCAGTGAAATACAAAATGTAAAAATAAATGAACAGAATTACAATAGAGAATGTCAATTCCAGATAAGGCTCTACAGTTTCTGCTCATTCTCCCATTGAATGTTAGGACACAAGTTATCTTTAGTAGAGAAATTTATTTTAAAAATGTCATCTTAAGCTGCAAGGATGTTTGATAAATACCACAATTCAATTTTAATTAAGTTAATCCTTGCTGTTAACTTTTGTTGTGTAAAAGAACTTACATTATTAGCACTTTGATTTTAAGTAAATCTTGAAATTCTGTTCACTGCAGGGATTCACATAGGTGGACAGATGTCTTTCTCGGCTGTAAACATACATGTTTTTTTTTATTGTACCTTTGATTACTAAGCAGACTTTACTCCTGGGATATTCTCCAAGTTATATTTTTTTTAGACTTCATTTGCAGTTGTTTTTTTTTTGTGCCAAACTGGAAATGTACCTACTTTGAAGAAAAGGGTTTGTTCACATCTCATTTTGGGTAAGGGTATTTTTTTAATTTAACATAGGGATTATTTGGTAATTGCATAATTTTAAGTTATGCCTACTCTTTTGACATTTAATGCTGTATTTTAAATTCCAACCTAGGGAGAGCTTATATAGGATCAAATGGACTTAGATTTTCTAAATGAGACTATTATGATTATTGAGCATGTGGCTTTCGAAATAGTTACACATCTAGTAGGTTTTTTTTTTTTTTTTTTGTATATTTTCCCAGCTAAAATATAAACTCACACTTCTACCTGAGAATGGGATAACTCATGTCCATGTTTTAATTGAAGATGAAAAAGAGTGTTAAACTATAGCAGATGACCCTGATTCACTTCATTTCCCTATGCTTATTTCAGTAATGTATGTAAAATATTGTGTTGGGAATGACTGAATGACACCTGAAACATTCATTCATTCCACAAGCACCTATTGATTATTTATTAGGTGCTGGTCATTAGGTGCTGTATGGCCAGCACCTAATACAATGGCATGATCCCAAATACATATTGTTCATGTTTGATACAGCTTCTGATTTCATGTTAATTGTGAGGTAAACTCCAAAAGTTAGTGAACTTAAAGAACTAATTAAGTGTAAAAATAAAGCAGTGTGTTTAGCCCGGACTTTGTAATACAGGCACTAGAATAGAACAGCGGTTTCAGTAGACATGTCTTCCTCTAAATTCACTCATGACTTGTACTGGATGGATTTTTTTCTTTGCTGAGCCTCGTCTGACGGCTGCACACTTTTCTTCTGGCTTCTCTCTTTTAATCAAGGGTTTTTTTGCAGGAGCCTTCATTCGCCACATCACAACTGGATGCCGGGGCCCAGCAGGACTCTGAATTCGGATGATCTTGGTTGAGGCAATATAAGACATTTTCACTGTTTGCACTACGGCATTCATTAAATTTTTGGCTGCTTGGATCAGGGAGGTGACACTGTCCAACTGTAAGTAAAAAAGAAAAATAAGCACCTATTATTCAAGAAGGTAATCAGGAATTTAGAGACATGTAATGCTCTAAAATCTGAAATTTGACACTTTTACTCCAAAAATGAGTAAACTCCCATTTTTTAACACCTACCTATACATTGATGTTGCATAAATAGATCTATATTTATAAGATGATATCTTAGGGAGATTAATTTCTGTCTCTTTTTTTCAGTAAAATGGATTCTATAAAGTGAACATAATAACATAAGGTCCAGATGGTCACTGTTTTCTTTGCTATGAGAATCTCCTTATTTCCAGGAGTAATATTAGCCCTTTTTTTCATACAAGATGACTAGCCTCAATAAAAGTCATAATATGTAAATTCAAGTCTATAAACACAACAACTGAAAATTCTTCCTTAGGGAGTTTATAGTGTAAGATAAATACCACACACACATATGGTTGTACACATGCATTTATCATTTATATTCTCATGGATTTTTCCCAACTAATTCCACCAAAAAGAGTCTCTTTTTTAAACAGGGAACTGTTTTATCTTGTAGCATGTTAAAATAGAGAAAAGTAATAAGGTTTTTTTCATGAAATAAAGTTGGGTTTAAATTTCAGGTCTGCCATTTGGTAACTTGGGCAAATCGTTTAATCATTTTCATCCTACTTATATCAGATTTTAAATAAGGAAAAAAAGTTTACTGAAGTTAAAGATGTACAGAGAACCTAGTAGTTTTACTGCCAACATTGATTGCTATTAAATAACATTTCCTTTGTTTCCTAAGAAGACCACAAAATCGCTTAATTATGAAGATGCACAAATGCCTTTCCCCACATGATTCTGTTTTTAATTATTTTTTTTCTGGGTAGTTTATAAGAAAAATTAGGGGTGATAGATATTGAAGTTATATTCTTAGAATCTTGCAAAATACTTTGGATCTAAGCCAGTTGGTTCATTTTTATACAAGTAATGCCTCTTCCTTTATTTTAGCTTGGCAGATTGTCATCCACGGCCAACTCACACAGGAAGATGTGTCTCTACTGTCACCTTTCTGTGATGCATGCTGTCAGGGCTGAGACTCAAACACTGGCTCTGTAGTTACTGAAATCCATCAGCAGCAGCCTGGCCTAAGTACTCTACAGTTTGAGGAGTCTCATCTCACACACAGAATAAATGAGCGAAGGATAGTAGTAAGCTGATGTTATGTGCCTGGGGCAGCAGTCTAGTTTGGAGCTTCCTAGGAAGAAAATTTAATTAGCTTATTATATGCCAAGCCTAAAATCTTTGAAAAGGTAACACTAAGAAATATGTAATTTGAAAGGCATTAATACTTGGCAACTATATATTTTTGTCTTTTACTTGTTGAAGCCAGAAATTTAAAATCTCGGCATGTGGCAGAAATGACAAATGTTTTGCAAACATTAAGCAGAACTTCATGAAGCTCTCATTTTTTTCAGAGGCTATTCAGAACTTCTGGATTTGTATACAACCTAAACAATTCTAGACTTTGAATAGAATAACAGATTTCATTGTTAGCATGGCTCTGTAGAGTTTGCAGGCTAAAATCAGTTCTGTAATCATTAGCAAATTCATATTAAAAGCCTCCTGAAGTTGAGTTAGATTCTGGAGGTGGTTTTCAACTTCACCATGGGAAGAAGAAAGTTTTTCTACATGATGAATTCCCAAGAATAATATAGTTTATCTTTAGTGATTTTCTCTTGGTTTACTCTGAATATGTGCACTGTGATAAAATAAAATCTAATACAGATGAAGGTCCTAGGGACCTGCTGTTATTTAGGATTTTACCAGTGACTTTGGTCTTCCTCCCCAAAAACTTATATTTCCTTCACTGTGTAATTTTGTGATATAAATTGCATTTATTTCATTTCTTTTGCTTTTTTCCATATACATTGTATGTATAAACCAGTAATCTAGGGAAGATATTTAAATTGAATCCATGCTTTAAAATGCAGAATCTGGCTTATTTTTTTCCTCACTGAATCAGCAAAACCCTGGTTGTGCCATTGTGATCTACTGTGCTAGTTTCTGACAAATCCTTTTATTTTAAACTCCTAAATGTCTGTAGAAAAACGTCTCCTCCTGGTGACTCAGAAAAACCACAGGACAAATTGTCCCTCTAGGAAAGCATGACAACTAGTTTTACAGACAGATTAGGACAACTGCTGCAAGAATACCGTTATTTCATGAAAAAAGCTAATAAGACCCTCTGAGGATCTCAAAGGTCTAATTGCCATGGGCTAAGATGCATAACTCTCTGCTGTTAGATCACCGGCCTACAAATGGTAATTTGGTGGAGGCCCAGGCATTGGCTCAGGCCTGTTTATAGAAAATAACTGCAGTTTCCTGCCTATAAACATGCTTGAAAATTCTCTTATCTAAGTCTAGTTTCATGAAAAATCCTTTAAGGGACCGATACAATAGAATCCTTTGTGGGGAAAATAAAGGCATATTTGATTAGGATAATGCACCCACATTGGGGTCTCTGTTCTACTTACTGAACAAAATTCCCTGAATTTCAGAAATGTACCTTTGTAAGACAAAAATGTTCATTTATTCTGTAAGACTGGTGGAGCAAACCAACCAACCAACCAGACTATAACACTGAGGTCCAAAAATTCTTGCCTTTACATACCATTTTGATCAACTGAAATTTCTTGGAACTGTAATCTGAGATGTTTTCCTGACACAGTAACTCCCATCACTGATCAGGATCCGCTCTCATCACTGTTCTTGATGAAGGTATCATGTGAGAATATAAATAACTTCAAATATCCTTAAACCATTTAAGGTTATAAGTTAACATTCTCATGCACGGACATGAGCTAGGTCGTTCCCTACCTATTCCTTTCCAGAAAAGAAAACACATAATTCCAAAGAGAATTTTGATCTAAATTAAAGGCAACTGATTTATGCTAGATAGATCAGATGTCGGCTCTCCTAAGAGGAAGAAAGCCTCCCTGTCTATGCTGGCGGCTTATGATGGTTCTTATAACATCAGTGTGGTTTCAGAATAACTTGTTGGCATCTTAATGTCACAATACATTTCTCCATATTATCTATGTCCAAGCCAAAGTCAGTAAGTTCTGTCTTATTTCTTGAGGTTCTTTGTGAATATAAGGTGATTATATTTTGTAAGTTAGCTCTTATTTTAACAGCAAGATTTGTAAATAATGCTTAGTAAGCCCATTTAATTAGCATCCTACTTAATGTTTTCATTCCGCAGTAATTTCAGGGTTTTTTGTTGTAAAGTCCTCCCTGTACTTTGCGGTATATGCTCTGTGGCATTTCACTCAAGATACAGTGTAAACTTGCCTATTTCTGAAAGGATTTCGGGCAAAGCGTTGGGGTGCTTAAAGACAAGCTTATCATCCTTTGTTTTAGAAAAGTAGTTTAGCAACAATACAAGTATTTTCCCACTTAAAATGCCAATGTTTTGTGCATATATATACATAGAATATTTGAATATTTTTACAGAAGCTAACATTAATTTACCAGTGATGTGAGTCCTTAAGCAGCTACACCAAGGTAGAATGTCAGCTGGCAAGCTTTTTTTAAAATGATTTTGTAATTATTGATAGCCAAGAGGAATATTAAGTAAAAAACGCCAATTTTCTTTTTAATTTTCTAAGTTCTTTTTAATATACCAGAACATCAGAATGCCTTTTACAGTACTGTACCTCCCCATTTTCTGGATACAAGCCTTTTATCAAATGAATATTTGCATGAATGCTAAGCCTAAGTGAACCTCCCTCCCCTAATGGGGAGCTCATCTCTTGCACCTAGGTGTCAGCTGGGGAAAGCAGTTTCTCAACCCCTGGGTTAAGGGCCATAATAATTGCTGTTGCTGAGACTACTGTGAATAGAAAAACCTGATGTATGTGGAGAGACCTAGTTGTTGTCCCATAACCTTCTGGGTAAACTGGTGCCCAAAGTACGCTGTGACTGTCTTGAGTCTCTACTTTTGACTGAAATTCAAGACCACTGGGGTGTGTTGCATCTGCACAAAAGCAAGACTAGAGGCAAATGTGTGGATTTTGGATCCGAGTAGAACAGCTTATACTAACTCAATGTTTAGTATGTGCTTCCTCCATATTGGTGTTGTTCTAAGTAGTGGACAGAAATGAGCTCACTGCAGCCCCATGAGATAAGTGCTTCTATGATCTCCATCTTCTAGATGTGGAAACAAAGGAACCGGAAGTTTAATACCTTGCTCAAGGCATGTTATTCAATGTAAGAGCTCACACAGTACACAACCCTACCTCCCTGTCATTCCCAAAATGTGTTTATTTTCAGATATTGAATTTTCAGAGAAATTGAACCAATATTCACACTGTCAAAAATGTTTTCGGGAAGGTTATGGGATCTTTGTAATATTTATTGGTACTTAGGAAAATGAGGATATTTTATTTGCTAAGCATTTTGTTAGGATGATGGTTTTATAATTATGCTCATCACTGTCCAAGTTGAATTTTTTAGAGTAGCTAATAGAAAAACTAAATTGTTCTTATAGGCCCCCAAACAAGTCAAGACTATTATGAACAGCTTTTTAAATTTTAAAATCTGAATCTTAATTAAGAAATCAATAAGGCAAAGAAAATATAAGCATATTATAACTGCTAGGAGATGGAATAGCATAACATTTATTTCATCTTTAAAATGTGTCATACTACAATACAAACCAAACTTTTTTCTGTATCTCAAATAAAATAGAGTCCATTTGTTTGCCTTCATTTTAGAGAAGAAAGCAGGATTGCTCCTTTTTCATTTTAACCCTTACTTAGTTAAAAATTTTCAATATAAAACCCTTTGGAAATACGTTTATCACAGGTAATGTGACAGGGCATTATGCATGTGTTATGATATATAACAAGTGAAGGCATATGTAACTATTTGTCAAGATTTTTACAGGTTTTCCAAATAATATTTACCATTTTTCACCTCTCAATTGATCACAGTGGTAGCTTATATACTACAAGAAAAGGTT